GTCACAGAGCGGCCCCTCTGAGTGATGTCAGTGTCACAGAACAGCCCCTATGAGTGATGTCAGTGTCACAGAGCAGCTCCTCTGAGTGATGTCAGTGTCACAGATCAGCCCCTCTGAGTGATGTCAGTGTCACAGATCAGCCCCTATGAGTGATGTCAGTGTCACAGAGCAGCCCCTATGAGTGATGTCAGTGTCACAGAGCAGCCCCTATGAGTGATGTCAGTGTCACAGAACAGCCCCTATGAGTGCTGTCAGTGTCACAGAACGGCCCCTCTGAGTGATGTCAGTGTCACAGAGCGGCCCCTATGAGTGATGTCAGTGTCACAGAACGGCCCCTATGAGTGCTGTCAGTGTCACAGAACAGCCCCTATGAGTGCTGTCAGTGTCACAGAACAGCCCCTATGAGCGCTGTCAGTGTCACAGAGCAGCCCCTATGAGTGATGTCAGTGTCACAGAACAGCCCCTATGAGTGCTGTCAGTGTCACAGAACGGCCCCTCTGAGTGATGTCAGTGTCACAGAGCGGCCCCTCTGAGTGATGTCAGTGTCACAGAGCGGCCCCTCTGAGTGATGTCAGTGTCACAGAGCGGCCCCTCTGAGTGATGTCAGTGTCACCGAACTGCCCCTATGAGTGCTGTCAGTGTCACAGAACGGCCCCTATGAGTGCTGTCAGTGTCACAGAGCGGCCCCTATGAGTGATGTCAGTGTCACAGAACAGCCCCTATGAGTGCTGTCAGTGTCACAGAGCAGCCCTTATGAGTGATGTCAGTGTCACAGAACAGCCCCTATGAGTGATGTCAGTGTCACAGATCAGCCCCTATGAGTGATGTCAGTGTCACAGAACAGCCCCTATGAGTGCTGTCAGTGTCACAGAGCAGCCCCTATGAGTGATGTCAGTGTCACAGAACAGCCCCTCTGAGTGATGTCAGCGTCACAGAACAGCCCCTGTGAGTGATGTCAGTGTGACAGAGCGGCCCCTATGAGTGATGTCAGTGTCACAAAGCAGCCCTTATGAGTGATGTCAGTGTCACAGAACAGCCCCTATGAGTGATGTCAGTGTCACAGATCAGCCCCTATGAGTGCTGTCAGTGTCACAGAACAGCCCCTATGAGTGCTGTCAGTGTCACAGAGCAGCCCCTATGAGTGATGTCAGTGTCACAGAACAGCCCCTCTGAGTGATGTCAGCGTCACAGAACAGCCCCTGTGAGTGATGTCAGTGTGACAGAGCGGCCCCTATGAGTGATGTCAGTGTCACAGAACAGCCCCTGTGAGTGATGTCAGTGTGACAGAGCAGCCCCTCTGAGTGATGTCAGTGTCACAGATCAGCCCCTCTGAGTGATGTCAGTGTCACAGTACAGCACCTATGAGTGATGTCAGTGTCACAGAACAGCCCCTCTGAGTGATGTCAGCGTCACAGAGCAGCCCCTATGAGTGATGTCAGCGTCACAGAGCAGCCCCTCTGAGTGATGTCAGTGTCACAGAGCAGCCCCAATGAGTGCTGTCAGTGTCACAGAACAGCCCCTATGAGTGCTGTCAGTGTCACAGAGCAGCCCCTATGAGTGATGTCAGTGTCACAGAACAGCCCCTCTGAGTGATGTCAGCGTCACAGAACAGCCCCTATGAGTGATGTCAGTGTGACAGAGCGGCCCCTATGTGTGATGTCAGTGTCACAGAACAGCCCCTGTGAGTGATGTCAGTGTGACAGAGCAGCCCCTCTGAGTGATGTCAGTGTCACAGATCAGCCCCTCTGAGTGATGTCAGTGTCACAGAGCAGCCCTTATGAGTGATGTCAGCGTCACAGAACAGCCCCTCTGAGTGATGTCAGCGTCACAGAGCAGCCCCTATGAGTGATGTCAGCGTCACAGAGCAGCCCCTCTGAGTGATGTCAGTGTCACAGAGCAGCCCCTATGAGTGCTGTCAGCGTCACAGAACAGCCCCTATGAGTGATGTCAGCGTCACAGAACAGCCCCTATGAGTGCTGTCAGTGTCACAGAGCAGCCCCTATGAGTGCTGTCAGTGTCACAGAGCAGCCCCTATTAGTGATGTCAGTGTCACAGAACAGCCCCTATGAGTGATGTCAGTGTCACAGAACAGCCCCTATGAGTGATGTCAGTGTCACAGAACAGCCCCTATGAGTGATGTCAGTGTCACAGAACAGCCCCTATGAGTGATGTCAGCGTCACAGAACAGCCCCTATGAGTGATGTCAGTGTCACAGAACAGCCCCTATGAGTGCTGTCAGTGTCACAGAACGGCCCCTCTGAGTGATGTCAGCGTCACAGAGCAGCCCCTCTGAGTGATGTCAGTGTCACAGAGCAGCCCCTATGAGTGATGTCAGTGTCACAGAGCAGCCCCTATGAGTGCTGTCAGTGTCACAGAGTGGCCCCTCTGAGTGATGTCAGTGTCACAGAGCGGCCCCATGAGTGATGTCAGTGTCACAGAGCAGCCCCTATGAGTGATGTCAGCATCACAGAACAGCCCCTATGAGTGATGTCAGTGTCACAGAACAGCCCCTCTGAGTGATGTCAGTGTCACAGAGCGGCCCCTCTGAGTGATGTCAGCGTCACAGAGCGGCCCCTCTGAGTGATGTCAGTGTCACAGAGCGGCCCCTCTGAGTGATGTCAGTGTCACAGAACGGCCCCTATGAGTGATGTCAGTGTCACAGAGCGGCCCCTCTGAGTGATGTCAGTGTCACAGATCAGCCCCTCTGAGTGATGTCAGCGTCACAGAGCGGCCCCTCTGAGTGATGTCAGTGTCACAGATCAGCCCCTCTGAGTGATGTCAGCGTCACAGAGCAGCTCCTCTGAGTGATGTCAGTGTCACAGATTAGCCCCTCTGAGTGATGTCAGTGTCACAGAACAACCCCTCTGAGTGATGTCAGTGTCACAGAACAGCCCCTCTGAGTGATGTCAGCATCACAGAACAGCCCCTCTGAGTGATGTCAGTGTCACAGAACAGCCCCTATGAGTGATGTCAGTGTCACAGATCAGCCCCTCTGAGTGATGTCAGTGTCATAGAACAGCCCCTATGAGTGATGTCAGTGTCACTGAGCGGCCCCTCTGAGTGATGTCAGTGTCACAGAACAGCCCCTCTGAGTGATGTCAGCGTCACAGAACAACGCCTCTGAGTGATGTCAGTGTCACAGAGCAGCCCCTATGAGTGCTGTCAGTGTCACAGAGCAGCCCCTATGAGTGATGTCAGCGTCACAGAACAGCCCCTATGAGTGATGTCAGTGTCACAGAGCGGCCCCTCTGAGTGATGTCAGCGTCACAGAACAGCCCCTATGAGTGATGTCAGCGTCACATAACAGCCCCTATGAGTGATGTCAGTGTGACAGAGCGGCCCCTATGAGTGATGTCAGTGTCACAGAACAGCCCCTATGAGTGCTGTCAGTGTCACAGAACAGCCCCTATGAGTGCTGTCAGTGTCACAGAGCGGCCCCTCTGAGTGATGTCAGTGTCACAGAGCGGCCCCTATGAGTGATGTCAGTGTCACAGAGCGGCCCCTCTGAGTGATGTCAGTGTCACAGAGCGGCCCCTCTGAGTGATGTCAGCGTCACAGAACGGCCCCTCTGAGTGATGTCAGTATCACAGAGCGGCCCCTCTGAGTGATGTCAGTGTCACAGAGCGGCCCCTCTGAGTGATGTCAGCGTCACAGAGCGGCCCCTCTGAGTGATGTCAGTGTCACAGATCAGCCCCTCTGAGTGATGTCAGCGTCACAGAGCGGCCCCTCTGAGTGATGTCAGTGTCACAGAGCGGCCCCTCTGAGTGATGTCAGCGTCACAGAGCGGCCCCTCTGAGTGATGTCAGTGTTATAGAACAACCTCTGTGAGTGACGTCAGTGTCATAGAACAGAACCTCTGAGTAATGTCAGTGTCATAGAAAATTAATTTTGTCCACCTGAATTTGTGCCCAGTCAAGAACCAGTTATAGAAATATCAGTGCAGAACTACAGTTTTTCTTACTAAATTATCCACATAAAGTTGATTTACTTTCTAGGGCAACTTTGTGGATTTTTTCCAAGTAGATTCTTTGCTTCTCCCATGCTTGGCAGCAGTGCAGTGGCTCCGAATTCCAGAGCGCATGATAAAATTTACCAAGGGTGACAGCAGTCGCTGTCCCGTTTATTGAGCCCCCATCGTGAGTTGGGTGCTGGACCAGGCATGCGTGTGTTACTTAACTCTCATGTTACCATTACTCTAAGACAGGGATTACTGCTCAGTTTCTGGATGAGGCAGCTAGGCTCTCTCCCAGAGAGCCTAGGAGTCTTTTCCAGGATCAGGGGGCAGCTTAGTGCCAAGGCCAAGCTTCAGGTTCTGTTTTGACCAACATCAAAGCCTTTGCTCCATCTCCCTCCACCCTCCTGCCCTGAGTCATGTTTTCAATCATGGAATGTTGCTTCTTTGTTCAGAAGTTAATATTTTTAGAACTGTGTTACTTAAGTGTCAGTACTGTTTGGCCTGGGTAAGCAGGGTACAGAGCAAACATTCTTTGGCTTAATTCTAAAGCATGTGGAATGTCCTCGACGGGTCTAGTGGGAAGGGTTGGCCTTGATAGTAGATCGACTAAACTTTGAGGGTAACTTGCTGGGGAAAATAGTCATCAGGGAGCTATGGCTTCTGATAGCGTAGGTTGACTTGACTGATGTGCCTTCTGTAGCTGGACCACGTGCTTCTTCTGTAGACTTACTTTGTTCACTGTAATAAGTACTGTTTATTGAATGATTACTGCACACGGAAATAATAACCCAACAGTGTGTTTTCTTTATCATACACCCTGCATGTGAAGTGCTTTACCCGAGCTGCTCATTTCACCCCTATAACAACCATATAAGATTGACCCTACTGTTGTACCCATTTCACAGATGAGGAAAGTGAGGCATAGGGAGTGTAACTAGTTCGCTTCACGTGGTACAGCTAGCAAGTGGTAGCGCTAGCTGTGAAGTTTGGGTGTGACTTCAGAGCGGGCAGGAGTGAGCAGGCCTGTCTCATCTCCCTTTTCCAGGATCCTGGTGAACATGGACGACAATATCGTGAAGCATTATTCCAACGAAGACACCTTCCAGCTGCAGATGGAAGAGTCTGGGGGATCGTTCAAGCTCACCCTCACTGAGATCTGAGGACGCCACGTCCACGACTCCCAGCAAGCTCAGCGAAGCTGTCACCTGGGCCTTTGGGGTTGACAGGCCACAGGTTTGCCAGTCGGCCACCTTCCAAATGTGGGTGGATGTCAGTGGATGTTGGAGGTGGCGCTGCTTTTGGCTTGGAGATAGCATTGAATGTATTGCATTGGTGTTTTTCAGATGACCCCAGAAAGCATGTTTGAATTTTCTGCTGTAAATACTTAGGATTAAAAGTGGAACTTTGTTCCAGGATTCGCTAGGTGACCTGGGTACCTTTAGGATGTCTGCTACATTATTTATGGAACTGTCTCTTCAGGACGGGTGCGCGTCAGACTCGATGTGACTCTGACCGCCTCAGGTCACGGGTGGGGCGCCCCCAACGGACAGGGGTGCCCTCTCTCCTCGGCCTCTCATTCCCCAGTAAGTGTTTACTCCAACAGGGCAGGCTACCAAACTCTTGCTTTGCGACTGTCTTGAACATATCAACTGCCTCTCTTACGAAGAACCCGAACGGTGACAGTGTGCCTCCATCAGGCTAAAGCTGCGTGTGTGTAAGTGCAATACGTCTTGAAGGCCTGTGTCTGTAAATGTGTACATACCTGTCTTATATAAATAGATAATATATACATGTGGTGTCTGTACATACAGCGAAGAGACGCAATGAGGTCTACCTTAAGGACTTTCTTGAGATGAGAGGATAAGTTATTTCTGACCACCTACACCCAGCAGGTAGCATGCTGTGCTTCGTGAACCCCGCTCAGAAGCTTTCTCTGGGTTTTCCCAAACACAGCCACCGTTCCATAGCATAGCAAAACGTCAGATGACAGAGATGCTGCACGCTCTTGAGAAGGTGGTTATTTGGATGTCTGCACTGTTTAACAAATGAAGTAAAGGAAAAAGCACTACCGCAGCTCACGTCTGCTGTGTCTGCTCGTATCAGTCAGGTGTCCCCGACAGCGGGAATAAACACAGTGATCACGGCACGTACTGTCGTCACTGTGAACCAGGAGATGCAACTCGGGATGGAGTGCTTCCAGATCTCTGTGCTACAGGAAATGACTTCTGTTTTATCACGTTTCAGAACCTCCAGGCTTTGATGGTCTTGTATGCTAACATCTCTAAAAAGCATTCATGAGTTTATGAGACTGTATTACTATGGGGAACATTTTTATATGTGTTTAAATATATAAAAATACTAAAGAGTGTAATTTTGTAATGGAAATAAAAATCGCAGGTATCTCTAGGTTCAGGGAAGTAGAATAGGCTATTTGTATACATAGGATTGATAGTTACATTCTTCCATTAAAATATTCTAATGAAGTATGTGAACTAAATTGCTGGCTTTCTAAGATAAGATGTTATGGGACACGGGTCATATAACAATATTTTGTATTTTGTTTTATGAAATTGATTTTGTCTTGTTTTTAATTGTATAATTGAAGATGTATTTTAAACCAAAGGGATTAAATTTTATATGTCTATTTCGTAATATGTCCTTTCCTGTTATTTAGCTTGGCTTTTCCTTTCATTAGTCAGTAAAAGCAGAATCTGTGATCTTAAAAAGCAGACCTGGAAAGAATCACCTTCGTGTTTCTCCTTGTTTCCCAGCACGTAAACTTGGGAAAACTCTCTTCCTTCCTCTTAGTCTTGCCTTAGAGGGTCTAAAATGATCTGAGTAATTGTTAACCGAGGGAGACCCAACTGAGTTTTTAACTACTACCAAAATTTAACCACCAAAGCTTAAGGTAAATGCTTTCAGACCTGAAATCTCAGGGTTCTTAGTTTAAAGCTTAACAGAAAACGTTTGGTTTAAAAATCTACCAGGGACTTCCCTGGTGGTCCAGTGGTTGGGACTCTGCTCTCTCACTGCCAAGAGCCCAGGTTCCGTTCCTGGTCAGGGAAGTAAGAACCTGTAAGCTGTGTAGCTTAGCCAAAAACAAGGAACAAAAATCTACCTGTAATGTTTCAGATCATCAGAATTCCTCAATCAAACGGCTGTTGATAAGTACACACCGGTAATCCAGTGCCTAAATGTGATAGACACTGAAGTATATTCCTAGTGAACACATGATCACACAAATGAAGTAACTCCCAGGGAGGTTTCCTGCAACACCTGTGGCCCCAGGATTAGAGCGAGAGGTCCACAGGCATTGCAGGAAACCTCCCTGGGAGGTTTAATCCTGGGGCCACAGGTCAGAACTCCTGCGGGGGAGACCCCGCCCATGGTCCCCTGAGGCCCCAGAGCCTGGACTCTGCTGCCCGGGCCCCTCACACTTCCTACCTTCCCTCCGTCTTTTTTTCTTTCTCCCTTGGTCACTTAGCTTTTGCCTTTTGTCTCAGAGCTTGGCTTTGCCCTGGAGGCAAGGGGCTTCTCCCATCTCACCAGTGGAGAGCCCAGGTCCCCTGACCTTGCACACACACACACCCCGCACCTTGTGACCCTAACCTGCCCACCGCCCTCCCCAGCCTCTTGTCTCCCTGGATCGCTGGCAGCCCGCCCGGTTCAGGTCACGTGGCAGGTGCTCAGTCAATAATCCTGCAATGATGAGGTGACGAGCTGGTGCCCTTGACAAGCCCCGCCCCTTGCAGGACATCAGCAGGGAGATGGGTTGGAAGTCAGAAGCTCAGAAGTGAGCGTGGCTGGACCTGGCCCCACTGCACACAGTGGGGATGGTCTGCCTAACCTGGCGGCAGTCAGGAAAGCAGCGCCCGAGACGGGGCCCTGAAGCAGGGGTCTCAAGGAGCCGACTGGACGTCATGGGGACGGAGTCACGGGGTACATGTGGCCCGCAGGTGCAGACGCGGGGTCACCATGCCTGCTCCCCCCAACCAGGTGTGCAGTCATTCAAGGTCACTGTCCTCTGTCCACCCTGTGGAGCTGGCATATTACTGTCATCTGGTATCAGCAACATCTGCATCTCACCTGCAAACACTGCCACCAGTGTACAAGCACGGGCTGGTGAGCGATGTGGCCAGGCCTTGAACCCACACTGCTGCCCCGAGGGCATCACAGCAGATGTGCACCAACAGGCCACAGTCCCTTCTCTGCTCCGATCACTTCTGTCTTACACACACACCTTTGATCCTGAACTCCTTTAGCCATCACCCCCTTCAAATCTTTTAGCCAAATTTTAGAAAATTTTATAAATGTAACACATGCCAAGAAAAAAAAACACATGCCATGAGAAGGAATGAGAAGAGCTCCATGATAGTGTCTCTCTGAGAGGTGAGTTTTCTGACACCCAGACCAACACCCCAGAGAGAACCAGCCATCCATTTCTCCAAGGCCACACCAGAGTCCTCCAGGCAAACTCAGGTGCACTGTGCATATTTTGCATGTAGGGTCATACTATTCTTTGCAGATGTTTTCATTTATCACTATTCTTTAGACATGAATTCTCTTTAGTGACTGCATTGTATTCCATTATAGAAATGACCACCATCTAATCAGTACCCAGGGCTTCCCTGGTGGCTCAAATGGTAAAGAATCTGCCTGCAATGCAGGAGATGTGGGTTCGATCCCTGGGTCGGGAAAATTCCCTAGAGGAGATTCCGGTATTCTTGCCTGGAGAATCCCATGGACAGAGGCGCCTGGTGGGCTACCATCCATGGGGTCACATAGAGTGGAACACAACTGAGTGGCTGAACAATAAATCAGTACCTACCGACAGACATTTAGACCAAGATTTTGCTATTACAAACATTGCTGCAAAAAAAGTGTGGACAGGTCTGTCCTTCCATACCTGTGAAGTAGAACTGAACAGTGAATTCTTAGCAGAGGAGTACCGAGTCAGAGACAGTGGTCAGTAAACATTCTGTAGAGACTATAAAACTGCTATCCAGAGAGAACCGCTTTCATTCCTGCACGCTGAGTGTGAGTGTCTCTTGACATCTCAGCACTTTGATTCGTTGTGTCTGTTGGAGGGCAGTTGAGCGTAACTTCTTGTTCCGGGGCTGTTTGTTCTTTGTTCTTTGTGAACAGTGTTTACCTCCTTGAAGGACTAGTCTGTTTATGGTCCCGCTTCCTCATTTCTTACGTGCTCAGCCTGGGGCAGCCTGACGTCCGTCCCTGCCACACTGTGCAGTGAGCTCAGTGCCGTATGCTGGATGGTCTCCTTTAATCCTCCCGGGGCCAGTGAGCGGGCGTCGCCCCATTTCACAGCTGAGGCCCAGGAGATCGCACTGCTAGGGAGAGAAGCAGTGTGTCCAACTCCAAACCTCCAGTTCTGTCCACTGTCATGGCTGTGTCCACTGCAAATGCTCCAGCCAAGGTTGCGGATGACCTAGCTGCTCATCTTTTCTTTCTCTCTCGGACCTTTGACCATAAAGAAAACCTTCTCAATTTCTTTGGCTTTCCTGATGGGTATATCAGCTAGAAAGTTTCGGTTGCAAAATCAGAAACAACAAGCTGGTTAAACAATGAAGGAAATGTGTTGCCTTCCTAACGCTGAAACTGAAGGTGGCCCAGGTTAGTCCTGGGCTTTGATGTCACTGGCAGCCTAATTTCTTGCCTCCTTTGGGGGCTTCATCCTAATTTTTACTCTCCCTGTGTGGTCTCGAGATGACTGCCAACAATTCCTAAATCCGTGTGTCTCCTGGTTCAAGTCCAGAGGTGCGGGACTCCCAGCAAATGTCCTGAGATTCATTTGGATCAGAACATCTCAGTTTATCCATCCACTGGTGAACTGTCATTAGGTCCCCCCAAAAAAGTCTCCTCCCCTCAACCACACAGCTTGGAAAATTGAAATCAGGGCTTTGAGGAGGGGACACGGGTCAGAGAAAGAATAAGACACGCTTACCAGGCAGCATCCTCTGATTATCCTACATCTGGCTGACTCTCTGTGACCCCACACCTGCCCTGGAAGTGCTGTTGTTATCTCCTCTCCATCCTCAGATTCTAATGTCTTGAGCACAGACTACTCCCGGATTTCTTTCTCTAATCCAGGCTCCCCCTTTAGCTCCAGATCCAAACCATATTGGACATTCTCTGCCCGGCT